GCCGAAGCCCGCCTCGAAACACCATTCCCGTAGTTGCCAGTATTTAACAGAGCAGTAAAACTTAAATGGGTTAGCTAGCCTTCCATCATTGACTTTCACCCTGGACACTTTCTCCAGATTTAAATTAAATCATGAACAGAGATGGCCAAAACAATAAACTTTACTATTGGTATGGTAGCATGATGTATAAGGTATGAAAAGGGGGCAAGCAACCAGAATCTCTAGAAACAAAGACTTAATTGTTCATGTTTGGTTGAATCTGCCATATGCTGCCTTTTCAGTGCAATATTCTCATGATTTTTAAAAAAGTGCTGTGCCTTGAGTGCCCATGCCATTAGTTAAACAGTATGCCAGCCACATCAGCTCATTTTAGCCAGTTTTATGAAAGCAGCTGTAATTTTTAGGCCCCTCCCTTGGGGTCTCTAATGTAGGCATATTTATTTTCAATTCATCACAAAGAGAAAGTGCAAGAAAAATTAGTCTTTGAAAATCAGTTTACTGTCATCTGAAACCGTAATGAGGTCTAAAATACCTTAATAATAGAGTTTTTGTGTAAGTTTGCTAAAGGACAGAGTTAAGGTTGTCTGCGAATGCTAATTAAGTATTTGCATGCATTAACATTCTTACCTTTCTTTTGAGCTTAACCTTCCCTCTGAATTTCTTGAATATGTTAATTTTTGTTTGGGGATGCTTACAGGAACCCTGTAATGAAGGGCAATCCAACTCACAACCTGTGAAGCACATGTGACCTTCAGTTGCATCTCCCAGAGTCACACTGTGAGGTGTTAGGGGTGGGGTTCTCTCCCTTGCAACATATGGCTGGTGCAGGATGCTGCCCCCAGTCACAGGGAAGTTGGACAACTGGGTTGTAAAGCATTTTACCCTAAATTGCTGATGAGCACTCTTAGGTTTAACTTCATCTGAATGCATTTTTGATACACACACACTGCATCCATGTGCCTGTGCAGACATATGCAAATATTTTTAATGGCTGATTAACACATAGATATGTAGTAAGTGATATACAGTTAGCCTCCTAATGCCCTTTCTTTATTGTTCCTCCTAGTTCCAGCCTCTGTCCGGGAATTATCTGCCAATAATGCCTACAGCAGTCATTCCTTATTAGTAACTTGGCAGAGTGCTGGTGGTGTGGCTGAAAGATATGATATTCTTCTCTTAAATGAGCAAGGGACCATACTGAGCAACAGATCGGAGCCAGCTACTGCTAAACAACACAAGTTTGAAGACTTAGTCCCAGGCAAGAAGTACAAAATACAAGTTTTGACAGTCAGTGGTGGGCTGTTCAGTAGAAGAACAGACACTGTTGGCCAAACAGGTAATAAAATATTTCAGTTTTATTATGGTACCTGCAATTAGATATGGTATAAATGTATGAATCATCCTTATTTCCTGTCATTAAAAAACCTCTAAACCAATCTCTTGATATCTGTGCATTATGTCTGATTTAATATATGAATGTGATTTTTTTTTTACAAAAAAAAATAATAATAATAATGATGGAGTCTCCAGGTCATGGTACATTGTATATTAAAGCAGAATGCTAATGAGTGCCACTCTCAGCAAATTTATTATAAAAGTACCTGGATCCTTTCTGTTATCTAGCCTTGAATTCAATTCGAATTCTTAGCCCAGTGTTCAATGTGTATGTATTTCAGGCACCTCTGAACTTTGGGCCAGACCTTGCAGTCTTCACTAAGGCAGCTCTTCATTATGGAAGTAAATGGGGAGTTTTGCCTGAGTACAGACTGGAGAATTAGACCCACTGTGTAATATGTAAGGATACTGGTTTTCTCTGATTTAAAAATATCCCCAATTTTTGGTTAAAAAAAAGTAACCCCAAATCCACATTTTCCCATGATTAAAATGAAACACCACTAAATATATAGGGTTACATTTTTTTAACCAAAAATTGGGGATTTTTTTTAAATCAGAGAAAACCAGGATCCCTCGTAATATGCATAGGTCATTATTGC